GTTTCATGTATTTCTCTAAAATTAAAATAATGAAGATGATAATATCAATGATTAACACCCTCCACAATAAAAATGGTTAATCAACCTCTCATAATTACAAAAAATGAACAAAATGAAAAATTATGATTGATTGAATGAGGTTTTCACGGTTTTTACAAATTGAGTGGTTTTTTTTTAACCCACCCCTATATACATATATAGGCGAATGATTGGATGAGAAGGAGAGTTAAGGTGAGAAGCGTAATAAGAGATCCAGACCATTGATCACATTTAATCTCAAACCCACGCATGAATTAATATGCTTGATACGACGATTGATCCGGTACATCTCGATACATCTCATCCTAACGTTCATCCAACCGGTGAAGATCCCTTCTTACGCTTCTCACTTTAATTCCCATTCTCACAATATTAACAAATTAAAATGAGACATATTAAGGAAGTGTTACTATTTCTTGATTGCATATATACGTTGAAACAAGAACTTCTTTATCAAACAATATAACCATAGCCTAACAATTAAGACGACTTAATACATATCCCACAAGAATGTCTTAATGTGGAATACAAACTAGAAACACATCCATCTGAATATGTTCTCTCGAAACGGGTTTCAATTGCTTGAAGTTACTGTAAAATTGAAGTTTGAACAAGTAGTCTGCTTACGTAACAACGAAGAACTAAACCCGAAAGTCGAATTCTCCAAATCAAACAACAGAAAGTTATCCTCGAACTGAAACGTTCCAATCACGATCGCAGGTTCACTTGTCGCACCACCGTCAACAAACGCTAGACACGACACATCTTCGGTCATTTGCTTAATGGAGTTAGCCGTAGATATACTCCACTTCTTCCCATCCTGGAGACTGAAATCAATATCAGCAAGTTTTAAACTAGAATGGTTACCTTTGGTGTTGAAACAAAGCCCAAATGGTGCGATTGGTGTTGTCTTAAGGATTCGTTTCGTAACCATTGAAAACCTCCGAACCACCCAGTTATAAATGTCGGTTCTTAGCACAGTGTAAGGATCGATTGTACTAAGCTTTGTAGTTGTATTCGAAGGAAGGTCGATTGATCGCTTTTTAATTACAATGGCATTGACACCGATATAGTATCCAAAAGAATTCGGTTGCGTGATCAACGGAGTATAAGAAAGTAAACTTCTTACATCTACATCTGATTGAGGAAGAAGGTAATAAGGACCAGTTCCAAAGAATAGAACCCCTGGAGCAGACAGAGTGCTAGGCAGACATAAAGCTAATGTCTTTTTGAGTGGCTGATACAAATAAGCCGGAAACGCGTAAGGCGAAGTCGAAAAGGCCATGACCCCAGTGACATTTTCAGGGAATGATCCAAACGAAGAAGATGGAGCAAATGAAGAAGAAGAAAGACAAGCAGCATTAGGGTAAGCACCATATAAACCAGTAAAAACATCTCTACCGTTGCTTGTGCTCATGGTGAAATCGTCGTAGTCAAGCAAGGCTTGGCCACACCATCCGGTAACGGGGTGAACCACCGTGACCGGGCATGTACAATATCCCCAACCAGGCAATGTCGAGCCGTTGTTTACCGGAGGGCAATTAGGATTCACATATGAATAGGTAGTTCGAACGCTGGTGCATTGGTATTCTTCGCATGAAACGGGGTTCGTGCAACGCTTGTTAACGGGACAAGGGACTCCATAGTAGTTCCATATCAAGATGCAGTCATGCCATATGAAAGGAGCATCGATGTCTATGATCAACTTTTCATGCATGAACTTCATGTCTACCCATGCAGTCATGACGTCGAAGCTGTAAAGAGGTTTAGCAACATCGGTGTGCTTGTTTATAGGTGCAACTACAGAAGTGTATGGTGGTACGTATTGTGATATGGCTTCATATTCATGAGAGATGAAGGCTAAAATGACAACAAATAGTTGCAAAATTGAAAGCATTTTTGAATTTGATTTTTCACATGGGATTAAATTGGTTTAAATAGACTTTAATTGTCAACTAATCCTGTTCAACGTATTTGAAAGTCAATTGCTTGTAAGAGGTTTAACTTTTGCTTCGATTTGACTAACAATTTAAATAAAATTAAAATGACAAAGAGGTATGTAAATTATATGGTTATATATATATATATATATATATATAGGGTTGGGTTTACGTGAGACCAAGAGTTTTTCGTGAGACCAGTAAGACCAATTTATATTCATTGATCAAATTTATAAACTAATGATCTAATGGTCTAAATTTGCAAGGTGGCAATTTTGTAATTATTGAGAAGTCTCGTGGCGTTTATAAATGTTCAGATCTGACGATTGTAAATCTAATCCAAAGGTTGAGAATTGGTCTTACGGGTCTCATGAAAAACCATTGGTCTCACATGATCTCAAGTCTATATATATATATATATATATATATATATATATATATTCAGTATTAAATGGAAGACTTTTAACTACGGATATTCTGTGAAAAATCCGTTGTTAAAGTTGGTGGATAAATTGTTGGAGAGAAACTCAAATTAGTGATGTATTATCCGGGTGTTTTTTGGGTGATTCGTTGGTGTTTTTTTGAAAATTGTGGATTTTACAAGAACCATTAGTATCTTTTAGGTGATCCATCGGTAATGATGTACATATTACCCAAGTATTTTTTAGTGATCTGCTGGTGCTTTTTTGAAAAATATGGATTTTACAAGAATGATTGGTATTTTTTAAGATGATCTATCAGTAATTATGGACGAAAATTTCCCTCGTTAATTTTTATTTTAAAAAATTATTTGTTTTATAGTGATTAAAATATTCAAATCTTGTATTTTTTTTTTATCTATAAGTATTATATACATAAAAAACTATCATCTTTATTTATTTATTTTTTGATTAATCTGGATATCCAAACCGCTATGCAAGCGGACTAATCCCAAGACAACCATCTGCTTTGTAGATAGCTCGGAGTCACCGCATTTGAACCTCCGTGGTCACAAGGGAATTTTTATTCCTCCTTGGATTTGAACCTGGAACCTCCTAGTACTTTTGACCTTTGGAGCCAAGCTCAAACCAATCAAACACCACCCTTGTGGTTCTCTTTATTTATTTATTAATGAGTTTGAATCTTCATTTATAGTGTTAAATATAAAAAATAGCAATTTATTTTTCATACATTTTTCATTTATTCTTAATAATGCATTTTGTATTTACAATTATTTCTTATTAAAACATTGTATTTTTTTTTTAAATATCTATTATAGCAATAGGTAACCGGATACATTTTGAACTGATAATCTTAGTAATTACTTTGCTTACATAGAACAATTAGGATTACGCACAATTAAGACCACATGGCGTATCATGCGTAGTATCTTTTTTATTTATTTAAAATAGATAATTAAAAGATAACACTTTCAAGTCCATGTGCTGTAAATATTTTACTGTGTATTTTCAGTTAGTCTTTGTAATAGTTGTTTAGAAGTTATGTTGTAAACCTCTAGGTATAAATATTATTCAAGCAAGAACACACACTGTAATTGAGAGAATTGATATTAATAGGCAGCCGACTGATTCAATTCATATTCTTGTGTTCTTGGTGATTATGATTTGATCTGGGATCTATAATTGGTATCAGAGCAAATAAAAAAGAGATTGCACTGTTTTTGGAATCGAATCAAGATTGAATTCTTGATTTCTTGGTGTTGGATAGTTTCTTGTTTTAGACTGTTTTTGGGTCATATTTTGATCAAATTGGTCAAGTTTAATATGTTTTTGACAAAATTGCGTTCATAAAACATGCTTAGAATGCATTTTCGAGCTAATCTATGTTGTTCTAACATCGAATCTTGAGTTTTGTGAATTTTTATTGAAAATATTTGAACTTTGTGACAGATCTATGTATATCGCCCACTGAATTGTCTTAGGCAATATCCTTATGAACATCGTCCGTTGAAGACTGCATTGAACGATATTCTTGGAAATATCGCTCGTTGAAGATTGTTTGAAGTTACCCTTGGTCAATCTGTTCAAATTGTGTGCGATATTTGAGGAATCCGTTCAAAATGTAAACAATATTGGGGTTATATCGCTCAAGGTGTAGATGATATTTTGTTATATCGCTCAAGTTTTAATTGATTTTTTTATGAAGTTGAAAACATCGCCCAAGTGTTGAGCGATATTCGTGTGTCACTTGAAGTTTCCAAGTGTTGAGCGATATTCATGTATATCGCCCAAGACTCGAGCGATATTTGAAGATTGAGTATATCGCCCATGTTTCAAGCAGTAATGGTACACATCGCTCAAGTGCTAAGCGATATCCTGTTGAGCGATATTCTTTGGTGAGCGATATCCTTGTCAAATGTTTTTCTTTGTTGAGTGATATTCACTTCAAGCAGTTTTCTGATCAAGCGATATTCTGTTCTAAGCATCAAGCGATTTTCTAAGTATCAAAAAGTTTTCTTAAGGATTCCAATTCAGTTCAAATTTTTCCTGAAACGATCAGTTCAAGTATTTTGTATTTAGTAAAAATGTCAAAGGACATGCTAAGCATTGAATCAGAATATGGTATTCGATTATTCAAACTCTAAATTCGCTGATGAAATTGAGTCTATAAATGCTGATTTTGGTGTCTTAAAACAAAGAATTAAAAAGTGAAAGAACTTTAATATTAAAATTTCAAACTGAAAGTTATGGTTATAAAGGTTTATGTGAATATCTGAAACAAGAAAAAGAACAACTTAGATCATAAAAAGAACATCTTAGATTTTAAAAATCTGATTTAGAGAAAAAGATTCTTATACTAAAAAGAAACTTGAATGAAGTAGAGGATGAGAAGGTTGAAATCCAGTTGAAATTTGATTTAATTCTCAAAGAAAGAGGTTAATTGTACGACAAAGTCCAACAGTTGGAAGAAATCATTTTCAAAAGAGGTCAATCTGAGCAAACATTGAAAACTTTAATGAACAAACCCAAAGATACTAGATTTACGATCCAAGAATGGGTTTAGGTTTTTAATGATATTAATGTTTTGAAAAATGCTCCAAGTTCTTTATATGATTTCAATGAATTTGGAGCTTAAAAGTTCACAATTCCTTCTGTTAATGAAATCTTTGTTAAATCTGAATCGTCTGGAAATTCCCACTGCGAAACCTCGAGAGACTTTCTAAAAGTGATGAAGATAAATCAGATGAAAATGTTTTTGAAAAATCAAAATTTCAAAATATGGAACTGAAATATGACGATTTAAACTCAAGTTACAAAACTAGAAAACTTCAGTTTTCTCATTCTGAAATTGAGTCATTTTATCCCATATAATATTTAAACATTGATTCTTCATCAAAATCTGAGTCATAAAATGAAAATAAATTGAAAGTCTGATATTTTTGAAAATATGATGAATGACTCATACTCTGAATCTGAAAATGATGTGATTTACGATTCTGATCCGACTGTAGGGGAAATTGAGAAAAAGGATTGGATCATTCATTCAGATCCTGAATTTGATTCAAATGCTAAAATTTCTATTTTAAATAAACAAATTTATGAGCTTGAGGCTGAATTGAAACCTAAAAAGATGTCTATGGAAAAGGCTCAAAATGAATTTTCGCTGAAAGTCTAAGAGCTTAATTTGAAAATTTCTGAATAGACAATGTGTCTAGTTTGCAAAAACAAAATGCACGAGTCAAATCTTCTATCAATGCAAAGACAAAATGTTGTGAAGGTAAAAAGAACTTCAAATCTTCATATCAAAAAACATTGTGAATGTTACCTTCACAGTTTTTTACTTTGAAATTCAAGTGTAAAAAGGTAGTTTTACGGGTCTCAAAAAAATAGGCTGGTCTCACATGATCCCAAGTCTCTCTCTCTCTCTCTCTCTCATATATATATATATATATATATATATGTAGATAGGGGAGCGCGTTCAAATAAAAACCACCCGATTTGTATAAACCATGAAAACCACATTCAACTAATCATAAATTTTCATTGTGTTCATTTTTTTTTGTAATTATGAGAGGTTGATTAACCATTTTTATTGTGGATGGTGTTAATCATAAATATATCGTCTTCATTATTTTAATTTTAGAGAAATACATGAAACAGTTTCATTAAAATTTCATTAAATATTATATGAAACAATTTCATAACCATATATGACACAAATTTATCAAAAAAAGTATTATATGAAACAATTTCACAAGATTAAACAATTTCATAAAAAAATTTCATAAGATTAAACAATGAAATTGGCGTATGAGGGTGGTTTGTGCGGTTTACACAAATGAGAGCGGTTTTTATTTGATCGCTCCTCTATGTATGTATGTATGTATGTATATATATATATATATGCTTGTATGTATGTATGTATATATATATATATATATATATGTATATTTACATACATACATATATATAGATGAATGATCAAATACAAACCACCCATATTTGCACCCTCATCCATCGATTTTATTGTTTAATTTTATAAACTTTTTCCATGAAATTGTTTAATCTTATGAAATTGTTTCATATAATACTTTTTTTTAATGAAGTTGTTTCATATATGATTATGAAATTTCAATGAAATTGTTTCATCTATTTCTCTAAAATTAATATAATGAAGATAATAATATTCATGATTAACAACCTCCACAATAAAAATAATTAATCAACCTCTCATAATTACAAAAAAATGAAAACAATGAAAAATTATGATTTATTGAATGAAGTTTGTACGATTTGTACAAATAACGTGGTTTGCAAAGTAAACCTCCTATATATATATATATATATATATATATACACACACACACACACACACACACATATCTTGGTTCAAATGCTAACCCAAACTATTATGTTAGCTTTGTTAACCATTTTTAACCAATCACAATCTATCTTAGTATTAGGTTCCTATCCATCATAAAATTTAATGACAAGTGTACATATATAATTTTCTTTTTTATTTAACTCTTATATCATTAATAGAGAGTTACAAAATCATAAAATCTCATGATTTGTGTTAACTTATTATTAGTCTTGTTATTATTTTTAATATTGATTTTCTATCTCTAATGTTTATGAATTTGTGATTGGTGGAGGAGACTCGGTAGTAAAGTTTTTGATATCGTTCAAATTGAGATATACGAAAGATGATGAACATGTGTGATCATATGAACACAAATTCATATATGAGAACATTTGTACAACCATATAAATACAACTCGGCATATATAAACCATTGTGTCAATTACGAACACAAATTTACATATATGAACAATTGTGTCAATTACGAAAATAGATTGACCTATATATATATTTGGTATAAATATGAACACATGTTGACCCAAATGAACATATGAAAGCTAATGAATATGTATGACTGTAACAGCCCATATCCATACATTGCATATAACACATATCTCATACATAGAATATATGTTTTCTCCCACATAGGTCCATAACACAAGAGTCTATAATGTAAAATTACATAGATCAAAATTCTAAAAGTACATGCTCTTGTATCCTAGCATCCAAGCTTCAAATATAGCAAAATACATAGGGAATTATTTCACAAAATGCTCTTGCTCTTATTATCATTACCTACACACATATTTTTGAAAACACAAAAATGAGGGTTAGACATGAATGTTTAGTGAGGTTCCCTTTTATGTAATGCAGGGTGAAGATCACCAAAACATTTATTTCAAATAATTCATCTCATGTAGTCAAAAACTGAAAATCATATTCTGTTTCGGTCCATCGGCCTCTGGTTCCAAACCATACTTAGAATATATTTCAATAAACAGGCCCAGAGCCCTTTTGGTCTCTCTACCAGAGCTTCTGGTTCCTCGACCAAAACATCTGGTTGTACTAACCAGAGCTTCTGGCTCATATATATAATGTCCTTTAGTTAAGCTTCCAATCAATAAGTTTTTTATAAAAAGAATAGTTATAAAGAATTCATGCTCGACCAGAGCCTCTGGTTGTACTAACCCGAGCTTCTGGTTTAAAAGTTATGACCAACCAGAGCCTCTGGTTCAACGTGCGAGTCGACCAGAGCCCCTCTGGTCTGTTTTTCATAAAAAGATTCTAAATATAAAAATCTTTGAATTATCTTTTAAAATGTAAATTTGACACGGAGCTCGTTTCTTACGAATACAGAGCCTCTGGTTTAATTAAAACTTTGTAAAATTGTATAATTTTCAAACCATCATCCAGAGCCCTCTGGTTCTATATTGGGGTCCAACCAGACCCCCTCTAATTCTTCATAAAATAAACATTCGTATCCTAAACACTTTTAACCAAAATCAATGATCATAGGCCATATTTTCCCGTAACCATAACATCAATACTACTATTTCCAATAAGAACAACATCTTTGAATCTTCAAATCACCAAGAAGAGAAAACTCCAATCTGTTGTAATCTTATTAGATATAATAGTAAGAGTTATACCATGCACACACACACAACGACCATCCTTGTTACTTCCATCAATCCCCTGTTTATAGCAATAGCTATCCATCACATACAACGACCATCCTTATTACTCTTGAAATTCATATGAACTATTTCATCCCATGACAGGCTGCAGACCTTTCTGTCAAAGTTAACCTCGTTCATAGTTTTATCCAAAATCTATAGACTATTTCATCCAATGACGGAACAAAGTCACATACGTCAGAGTGAACCTTGTCTATAGTTTTAACCAAATCATATTCTCAACACAGGTTTATATTCAAACCTTTCAATCCATAAGAACAATCTGTTCTTCAAATGATTTCTCAATTGTTTGTTTTTGCTTAATCCTCAAAAACAGGGTGCCAAATCCATACTGTTCCTTCAAACATAGTTCCTGCTTAACCTTTTTCAAAACAGGTTTAAGTTTTTCAATTCATAAAACAGTTTCTTTTAAAAACCGTTTAAAACAGTTCTACTGGATTCTTTTAAATTTAAACCCATCAATATACCAGAATTTATAGAATCAAACAGTAGATAAAACTCACAATTTATAATCGACGGTAGTTTAAAACTCACCTTAAAATAACAGATTCTGCAGATTATCACGCAACAAGTAACAGAATCTTTAAACAGCAATATTCTTCAAGAATATTTTTCAAGAACACTTTCTAAGAATGCTTTCACCGCCTTTATATTTTTCTTATATATTTTGCAAAATAATGAACTGATAAGGTTTTTACCTTATCCTCTTTCTTTTATACTTAGGATGAGGCGGTGATGAATATCTTTCAATATAAAAAATCATTGGCGGTGGAAATATAATGTTTTATAATCAACCTTTCTTAACTATGAAGGTTTAGATTATAATATTCCCACATATTATTTTAAAATATAACCGCCTATAAAATTTTCACATGCATGCATAATATCAAATTACCACACATGTGCACATAATTCATGCATTTGTTTTTAAGACAACATGCATGCTATCACATAATTCACATAATGAACACATAAATTTACCTCAACCCAGGTTTGCAGAAAACCCAGTTATAACAATGACTATACAAATTCATATATATGAATATTCGTACAACCATATGAACATAACTCGACATATATGAACCCTTGTGTCAATTACGAACACAAATTGACATATATGAACCTTTGGTATAAATATGAAAAATAAACATATGAAAAATGATGAATATGTGTGATCATAAGAACACAAATTCACATATATGAATATTTGTACAACCATATAAATACAACTCGACATTTCTGAACTCTTGTGTCAACTACGAATACAAATTAACATATATGAACCCTTGTGTCAAATACAAACGCAGATTGACATATATGAACACTTATGTCGTTTACGACCTTTTTCCATATACACCCATGTTCACACATGAACATGAATACAAACACAGTTGACATAAACGCACACTTGTGTCATTTACGATCTTTTTCCATATATACCCATGTTCACACATAAACAATTCCCATAAATATCGAATATTTGTTCACATATGAACCATTAACAAAAAAAAACCGTAGAACAATATGGCGTTGGGGATCTTGCTGTTGGTTTTGATTCGATGGCAAGATTAATTCATGGATAGTTACATTGTTATTAATGGGCAGTTACAAAACATCTCATTGTTATTAATGGACAACTGAAATCTTTCTCAAAATACCTCTTTACAATATTGTTTACTTATGTTACCTTGTCTATGTGTGCAATTAATTACACTTTATGTCATGAATGATCTTAGCCACAAATTTCAAAAATCAATGACCAAGATTAATTAACAAAGTTAATATAATAGTATGCGTTTTTTTAATTCTTTGTACATACACATACACACACACATAATATATAAATATTATATATTATGTGTGTGTGTATGTACAAAGAATAAAAAGACGCATACTATTTATTTGCCCAACTAAATGTGGAAGCTCTTGTATGGAAAAGCACATTTTGAATTATGATCGAAGATTGGGCCAACGGTCAAGGAGAGAACAACGGAAGCATGTGCTGATGTGCATGTCTACTTGCATTGACGCCATAACCAAGGCATCTCAATTTGGTTTAATATAAGTTTTTTGTAAAATGGTTAATAAAATATAATATATAATCTATATTTTACATAAAATATTCATTTACAAAATTCTGCTTTAAGTCTTTCAAAATAATATCAATAATTGCATGAGTAATAATAAATCAAAGAATTTTTTGAATAATTAAAATCACATGTTAATGGTGTCAACTATGCACCAATCCCAATAAATTGTGACTACAAGAAACAGTTTCGATAAACTCAGTGGTCATGACTGTTGTATAAGCTATAATCGAAACCTAAACTAATAAGATATTCCTCATCCCCAGGGATTCAACCAATACGCCACAAGGACTTAAAAATGTTTCAAGGGTCCTGATAGCATATCCTATAGGAATTTAGTTTACAGAAGTATACTATAAAACGTCATATCTAAAACCGATACAATAGGTTTATAGAATGTTTTTAGGCATTTCAAACAAGATTTTTACGACACTCTTAAGTCAACAATCGTATTAGGTATTACATAGGACACTTTTGATGAGTATCCTGTAAACTCATCTTTATATACGACACTTACGTTTATACAACACTTTTCAAATAGTGTCTATTATATTAAACACAACCTAAAAGAACTTCTTAAAACACCCTCTAAACTTGTTATCACACTTTCAGATACGACTTTATTTCTTTGGTCCTACAAAGCATCTTATTGGAATGCTTAGAAATTTCAGTCATCCTACAAACCTAATTAACGTTATCGTATTGCATTAAAAAACTGGAAGTGTATTACCTCATTTAAATGTTGTGCTAATATTGTATTCTACAAGTCCATAGATTAACGATAATACATGTCGATATTAGAAGGCGGCCATATGTATCCTGCAATATAAGCTTTAGAACATGGCCATATGCATCGATCATGCCACAATCTTACACTATAAGCTTTAGAACATGACCATATGTACCAGATGAATACAAATTTACATAATTCAGTAGAAATTGTACATGAACAGATATACAAGTAAATATATATTTACAAGTATACAAAAAGAAAAGATAATATAAAAGGATCTCGTTTTGCGCGTATGTTCTTGGACCGAAATTTTTAACTTTTGAGCAAATAAGTGCTAATAAATCGTGAGAAAATAATACAAGGATAGATAATAAATCCAACAAAACCCAATGATATCATCCAAAATATGAAATCCCGGGACACATGAAAACATCCGAAAAATAATACATCTCATCAGTATCTAAGCATCGACACTTGATCACAACTAAATATCAAACAATCCAGAACAATTTGGCAATTCTTATAATTGATTGAATATTCTTGTTGGAATAAATGGCAAGATATGTAGGTTAGGAATTTTTACCTTAAAACTGAGTAGTGACTTGGGAAAATAAGGCCTTGAAGTCGGTTGTTGGCGTTCCGGTTCCTTCAGGCTTGGAGGCAAGATCGAGTGCCTTGCATTTTGCCTCCTCAATTTGCAGTGCCTGATCGCAACAAAATTACTAGATGTCACAAAAATTTACAATCAGTTTGGAACTCTCCCAAACAAAAACACGCTCCTGCCATGTAAGAAAAACCCCCTACCAATCTATACAGATAGATTTAATCCACATAAATAGTTTTATCCATTCACGACTTGATGGAAAACCAACCAAACAGCCCCTAAATTTGTTTGGATAACCACGAATGTCCGGATCAGTTTGCATACCCCTCCACTCATCACATGGCGCCCTGAAGTTTTAGGGGGAGGCAACTCGAACCGCAACCACCAAGAGTGAACTCAAGGACTTACTGGTTAAGCTAAAATGATTAGCTATAATTTTCCTTGCTAAAAAGAGAAAGCGGGCTTAGGCCATGTGAGGGCAGCCATTAGACCTAGTCCTTGGCCCAAGCTAATCGGTCACTTATTTATCCAGTCCCAAGCTTTAACTGCCCGTGAGACACATGGCTACGGTCATCCCCATCTAATCTGTACTTGGATCTTAGGCAGGATGATCCCAACTGGACTTCTGGCCCAGGCATTCTACCCATCTCTATTAAATGGGGTTACTTGAAGAATAACCTTTTGAAACATCTCCACCTAATAGAAGAATGCCTCAAAATCTATCAGATGGTTATGCATTAGAAAAAATTGTCAGAAATTTACTCTCCTAAATAACCCCTCTATAATAGTACCTCCAATCCCCAAATTAATTACTAGAAACTTCAAAATTTGATATGAATTGTGTTGTGCTCATTAGAAAATGATTATAACAAGGACTAGTGCTAAAATGGTAAGAGATTAGAAGTTCAAGCTAAGGAAACAATGGCTATGGAGGAAAACCAATAGAAATTTTGCATTCTAGGGTACATGACTAACTCAGTTACTTAAAATACCCTTTGTACAATGACTACAGAGAGAGAAACTTTATGATTTGCATTACTGGTTTAGTCAAACAAATGATTTCAGTTAGATACTTTTCAGAGGAAAATATGCAGTTGGAATGGAACATTACAGAATGAAAACTGTAAATAGTAACTTCAAAAATCTACATCTAAATTGGGCAAATTGCATGAAAATTCAACATACATTGGTGTGCTTCCTATTTTTATGTAACGTATTTTCAAATACCTAGTTTACATCTGAAATACATGATAATGAAACGTACTTCGGTCTGATTCCTATTTTGTTCGTTATTTGGTCAAAATGTTTAAGATATCACATCTGAGGTACCAAAATGAAGGTTTGAAGGTATGTTATGCAAAATAGGAATCAAACCATAATACTGTGCATTCTATATTGTTTTTGTTCTTCTGGGGGTGGTGGTGGGTGAAAGAGGCATTTTGCCACACAAATAGATATACCTGAATACAGACTTCAGCCACATCTGCTCTGGCAATGGTTTTAGTTTCAGTCTGAAGAAGTTCGTCATCTTTTCCAGTAAGCAACTCCCGGACGCCACCTTCCTTGTCTTGCAAACCCCCAGCCCTAAAGATGTAACTCACATGAGAATAAACATGTAACAAGATATTAATTGTGATGCAGTTTGCTTCATGTTAAACTTTCAACTGTTAATATACATGTCTTAACGGCAGTTTGGTTGGTTTTCCATTAAGTCCTGTAAGGATAAAGCTGTCTTTGTCAGTTAATATGTCTTTATAGATCGGGAAGATTTTTGTTTGGGAGGATTTTCTTTCATAGATGGAAGAGCATGTTAAAAATTTGGGAGGGGCGGCTATGGAAATAACTTGGCTTCCTGCATAAAGCTCCCCCTAGTAGTTTACTAAATAAGCCACTTTACATATCATTAAGCCACTACAAAATAGTCATATACAGTTGGCTGTTCTGTTGCCTCTGTGCTATTTCAACAATAGCAAGAACAATGTTTAAGCTTTCGCCCTATCAAATCCCAGATTCTTGGATTCACAAATCACAACCTCAAGTAAGATTTGAATAGGTTGGAACTAGCCAACTAAATGATGATTTTCTTGTTAAAGAGGGACATTCTTAAACATCATGAAAAAGGATTTGAGGTAGCATCATAAATCACATGAACTTCCCTATATAATTTATATCTTGATATTATGATAAACTGCAATTGAGCTGTAGTAACCATAAAATTTAATCTAGACATTATGCAATGAAACTAATCTCAAAATTCATAAATAGTACAATATTACGTAATATAGACTCCAGTTTCATCCTCTGTCGGCGTGGGGGATTATTTAAGCATATCCGCCCTAGGAACGGGTACCCATGACCGACCCTGACCCTAGAATTTGTTTCTCTACTTTCTATGTAGCTCTCAACATGGTTCAATGTCCACTCTGTGTTCTTGATAGCATTGAATTTTCATGTTTTACTTTGTGTTTATAGGCTCAAAATCCCTACTTTATATTTTAATAGGCCTAAATTATGTTTTTATAAGTCTAATCCAAGTTTTATGTTGATCAGGTCAAGAAACAAATGAGAAAACGCGAGGAAAAATGGTTATCGTGCTTAAGAGGGTTGCACGGTACACGTGGTCAAAGAAAGGCAAAACAGAGGAAAATGCTACCCTGACAGGCTACCTTGCCATGAAAGGGTCTCACATTGTGGTATGAACTTATGGTACACAAAATGATACCCAGACATGCTACCCTGCCATGCAAGGGTCGCACATTGTCATATGAACTTGCAGTACACAAAATGCTACCCTGACATGCAAGGGTTACATTTTTTCCTTGGAAGGACCAATTTTCGATTCTCGAGCAGTTTTTCCATTTTCTTGGTATAAATTGACTTGGAAACCGCCATTTGAGGGAGAGAAGACCTAGGGACGATTTCTAGAGCAAAGGAGAGGATTTTGGAAGCTTTTCAATCATTTTCTTGTTTAATTCCGTAACTAGTTTCTTCATTCCCAATAGTGTAGCCTTTGATTTTGATGCATTTGGTTTAGAGATTCCTATGTTAGATGTTTGAACAAGTTTATTTGCTTGAATCCCATATGAATGTCATTACCTTTTGGTTTACTAATTAACCTGATCAATTGATTCGTACCCATTTGAAGAGAAATCATTTAAAACCCTAAATCCGTAACTGATTGGGGATTTTGATAAAGTGACAAATGGTATGTTTGATTTCAATAAGGTTTTCGAACCTATGCCATGAACTCTTGCAATCAAAGCTTTAGTAAGCCGAGCTTGTGAGCTTATTGCTTTGAATTAGTGAATTTCTTAATTCGTTAATGCTAATCCACCTGGGGATTTAAGAGCTTGTTTAAACCCTCATTTGTTATTAAGATTTAACCAAAGAGCTTGTTTTGGTTAATGTCTATCTAAAGGAAAATCGAGGTTGTCATAACTTGTTGACAACTATGGCCTGTTTAGACTTGTCATGACATCTTTTACACGATAAGAATCAATGATAAACATTTTGCATCATATCAAGGGTGAAGCTATTGTTGGGCTTTTCAATTTTATTGTTGTTAGTCGTATGTTTAGTTTATTTAATCAAGTCCATCCTTGTTAGGACTAAAATAGTCCTAATTATTTGAAAGTTTTATAAAGTCCTTTTACTTGTATTGTATTGAAATATCTCGTATTTGGGCTTAAGGGCATTTGGCTTTACTTGTAAATGTCACCTATAAATAGGTGACATAGGCTTAGAATTTCAAGTTGTTCAATTCTGTATTCATCAGTCAGAGTCGTATAGTGTGAGAGAGAGCTTTGTAGTTTACTGCTTTGATGAATAAGATAATCGGCCGGTTCATCAAGTTCATGTTCTTCATCTCAATCTCTCAATCTTCATCTAATTCTTGATTTGTTGTTAGATCTGGGATCCACAATTGATCTCAGAGCAGTCATCCAAATCGATACGATCATTCTATCTACAGTTTTTTAAGTGAAATTTTCTGTTTTTGTTCAATGGAACAGTACTCACATGAACTCGACTTCATGTTCGACTGTTTTGTGCTAAAATGATTATATTAACCTTTGATTTCAATATTTTAATCGAATTCCTTCTATAGGATTTGGTTATTGGTGAATACAAACATTTTTCAATCATCAATTTTGGGGTTATTTGATAAATTTTGAAGATTTGATGATAGTTGGGTCGAATGCACTTCGATACTGTCAGATTCATCTTCATCGCTCGATGAATGTTCTTGATTAGCAATAAGGAGTTTTCATCGCCCAATAATGATCTGAAGCTAGTTTGAGCGATGAAAGTGTGTTTATCGGCCAAAATGAAATGTTGGTAACTTGGCCTTAGTGAACTGTGTTGAGCGATATCTTTGGGCTTGGATGTACTTTTGGCCAAGTGTTGAGCGATAACCTTAGTAATGGCTCAAAGCACTGCCCGATAAATCTTGCTCATCGTCCAAGTCATGAGCCTTCAAGATGCTATCCACTCAATGTTATGAGCGATAAAGGTCCTCATTGCCCAACATACCACGCGATGAAGAGTTTTTTGGTGGGCAATGATACCTCATCTTAACAGTTTTGCCTTGTTACTTGTCATGAGCGATAACGAGTTGCCTAATAACCCCCTCATCGGCCAAAGCTTCATGCGATGACCTCTTTCAGTTGAGCGATGAAAAGGAAGTTGATGTATATCCGCCTAAGGCATGAGCGATGACATTGCTCTCCACCCAAGGTGTTGGCAATATGCCAAGAGTTCATGGCCTTCTCCGCCTAAGGCATGGGAGATGAGATGTTTGACTTATGCTCATCACTCATCAAATGAGTACATGTTTAAACAACTCTTTGTGCTTAAAATGTGTGCTTAATGGATTTCTTTGCCCAGATCACCTTGTGCTTATTAATTAAGGTGATATTATATCATTATTTCCCTTTGAAGCATCAACAACAACATTGTCAATATTGACTTTTCAAGTCAAAGTTTGACTTTTGATCAACCAAATTGAGGTTGAAGTATAAAGTCGGATTTGGATGGATTTCAGAACTGTTTGATTGGTTTTGGTATTTGATTGGACTAGTCAGAGTTTGAGTATCTGCAATCGTTACTCAGGAGTTTTTCTACAAGAGGCTAGACCATTGAGTGCCTTCACTCATTTCTTTTGACCTGATCAATCAGAAGTCTTGAAGGTTTGCAATCAGTGTTCTGGAGATTCTGGAAATTATCAGATCTTTAAGTGTTCTCAGTCATTCTTCTAACCTGATCAATTAGAGGTTTGAAAGTCTACAATCATTGTTCTGATGTTATGGTAGTGATCTAGAGTTCTGATGCCTTTAATAACTCTTCTGGCTGGGAATTTTGAATCTGATTCTGGTTATTCAGTCTTTTGAAAGTTTGAAGGAAATCGGCTTATCTATATGGGTTGACTTGTTGTTCTTGAGGCTACGTGCTTAATGCTAATACTTCCTCCGGTTCTTAATGTCAATGGTGTTTGCTTTGGTATTTCAAGCAGATGCTGTTACCCCAATTTGTAAGCTTACCAAGATCAAGTTCTTAAGCTGAATGCTTATCAACTCGTGGTTCACTGAAAGATTCTTTGTCATAACACTGTTTGCACTGGAATGTCACGTAACTCACATTTATCTATCCCATAGTTGGATGAATCTATTGCTTCTGGGTTGGCAATGATTTTGCGGTTCAAGGTTGTTTTGAGTTGTTTGCAGTTATAGTTGTACTTTGTGCAATCAGTGGTGCTGAACTCACATTGAATCTTATCTTAAAGTTGAAACTTAAAGAGTAAGAGCTATATTCAAGGGGGAGCTTAAAGATTTTATCAATGCCGGGCACACCAAAGCTTTCTTAAAGAAAGCAGGAGGAAGAAGACCTGAAGGTTTCAAGAGATGCTTGTTTTATAAAACTTTGGGGGGAGATTGTTAGGACTAAAATAGTCCTAAGTATTTGAAAGTTTTATAAATTCCTTTTACTTGTATTGTATTGTAATATCTTGTATTTGAGCTTAAAGGTGCATGGCCCTTTACATGTAAATGTCACCTATAAATAGGTGACACAGGCTTAGAATTTCAAGTTGTTCAATTCTGTATTCATCAAACAGAGTCGTATAGTGTGAGAGAGAGCTTTGTAGTTTATTGCTTTGATGAATAAGATAATCGGCCGGTTCATCAAGTTCATGTTCTTCATCTCAATCTCTCAATCTTCATCTAATTCTTAATTTGCTATTAGATCTGGGATCCACAAACCCCCCTTTTAGTTGAAGTGTAGAAGCTGAATAATAGTCACGACTAATCCCTGTGGATTCGACCTGACTTACCACTAGAGATGGCCAAAAATCGGTCCCGGGCCAGGCCTTAACCGGTTACGGCCGGGCCTAATCGTGACAAAAACCGGCTATAACTGGTCCCTCTATAACCGGTCCCGGTTCCGGTCCCGGTCCCGACGAAAACCACTATAACCGGTCAAGCTTTCATATAACCGGTTAAGGTCGGCCGGTCCCGGTTCCGGTCCCATAACCGGTTACAGCCGGTCCTTTGAAATTTTTATTTTTATTTTTTTGGTAATTAATAAATTAAAAATATGTTATTAATATTTTCAAAATATGTTATTTTTAATATGTTTTATTATAAATATGTTTTATTATAAATACGTTTGTTATGTATTATATATATACGTTTAATTTTATAAACACGTTTTGTTATATACATAATACATTTAAGAATACACTTTAAAAATACGGTTTACTCAAATACACTTTAAAGTATCGGTTGTGTAGTCATTTGTCGGTTTAAATCGGCATCGTAGTTCCATATTTGACCTTGTGTGTCAAGTATCGGTTGGCTCGAACTCGAATCACCCGCCGACCGGTTCCCCGGGCACGTTTTTTCGGTGTGCCTCCTTAACGTAGAATTTCCTTCCGCCGTAAGGAGAGTTTGACACATTTTGCATTGTGCCTTTCGTTTCCCGGTCGTGAGAATCACCAAGTTGTAGTGATTCCAAATCTCGGACTTTCGTCCGTGTTCGGCGAGAACTTGGGCAATTTGTTCGTTTGAGGGTTGTTCACCGGCCATTTTGTAAATCGTAGGTAAAAGAGAGAAATAAACRAGAATTGTGAAGTGGAAACGAGAAATTAATACGTAACGAATTCAACAAATGAAGCGAAAAACCRAGAATTGAGAGCGTTTTTTGCGTTTTTGAAGATGAGAAGTGTTGGTAACTAASTAAGGAACTTYCATCTCTATTTATACATGTTTTGGTAGCTAAAAAGATGAAAAAAACGGTCATAACGGTAACTAACGGTAACTAACGGCTAGTTTGACTTTCTAACGGTAACTTTGACTTTTTCGTTGACCGGGCCGGGCCCATAACCGGTTGCGTAACCGGTTCCGGTCCAAAAAATCGTAAATTACCCTAACCGGTTCGTAACCGCCGGTCCTTAACCGGTTATGGCCGGTCCCGGTCGGTTACGGTTATGCGTCGGGCTCGGTTCCGGGCCTCCGTCGGTTACGGGCCGGGCCGGTTACAAATGGCCATCTCTACTTACCACTATGACAATTAATACTGTGATTTTGGGACAGTTGGAACTTATTATTTGTTGGTCTCGACAACCATGGGCGGACCTGGTGTGGTGGCATGGGTGGCACGTGCCACCGTATTATTTCGCGGCCGAAGGGTAAAAAATTTAGGTTTGTTAACGGTGCTACCGTATCGTTTAAGAAGGTGCTACCGTATTTCCCTGAAATCCAAATGGTGCAACTAAAACCCAAACAAAACAAAGCCCAAATAACCAAAACCATACTTTTTGTAATTATTTTTGGGTATATATTGACTGTTTTCAAAAGATGAAGACGCGTTGGGTACAAGTTTAGGAGTTGTTTATCGGTACTATAAAAACCATAATTTTTGTAATTATTTTTAGATGTATATTATACTATATTAATTATATGGTGCCACCGTTTGAAAAATTTTCTGGGTCCGTCCCTGTCGACAACCGTCTAATATGTCAACATAGTAGATTGATGTTGATTGGGTTCTATGTTAATGACATTATATTTGCTACTAATGATTGAAAGGCAACTTACCATCTGCAGTTAATTATTTGGTGGGACTTCAATTGAGGTAGCTCGGTTTAGCAAGGTAATCGCTAGTGCAAGAAAATTTGCATTCTTGATATTTTTTTGGAAGCTTATTAGTTGGACCACCTTTACACTCATTTCTACTTGACTACATAACTCCTCTTTCAGTCCGTAACACATTGATTAGTCCTTTTTCATTGTCAGAAGTTTGGTGACATTTAGATATTATCCATCTACTGTACTTCAGCATCAATCTTGTGGGTATGTTAACTATGCCAATTCACAAGGCTGAGATCTAATTCATTTGAGACATGTTGGTCATGCGTCATATCTATAATACAAGTAGAACATATAGAATTTTTGTTTTGTTTTGAAGTATATATTATTTTATATACGGCAAATCGAACTCACACACATGCCTCACCTTTGTTGGTCAGCTTGGAACCCTTGACCTTGAGAAAGATTGGTTTACCGGTTATAGCTGGGCCAAAGGCCTTGTCGTAGAATGCAAATAAAAGTTTGTTGGTAAACCTTTATTAATTAATTTGATATGCTTGAACTCTGATGATAAATATCACACTTCATAAACAACCTAGCAAGAACTGATTCATATTCAATTCTTCGACGAGAACTGAAGCCCCCAAAGCTGCCAGGCACAAGTAAACATGCTTTGTTCGGAATGCTTATTATCTCTTTCCGTGACCATAAATAGTTGTATTCTACAATAAATCTAAAATTTTACCATCGGAACACAAAATTTGAAAAATGGAATTTTTCTGGATCAATGAAAAAGAAATCTTGATGACTAACCTTATAATTGTGTATGGGATCCCAGAATCTGCTAGATACTGTTCAGCCTTTCTCTTCCAGACCTGCAAGAACCAATGACAGATAAACTCACTTGGGAGGACTTATAATGACAAATGACAAAATATTTATCATCCAAGTAATATGTCATTCACTTCAGACATTGCAAATATTTTAATAAACACAAATAGCTTATGCAAGAAGAGCTATTATATATGGACAACGATCACATTCAGATCATAAGACCACAAAAGCAGAACCGAAACTGTTTACTTGAGAAAGAAAAGATTAAACGAACCAGTATATTCCCGTTTCCCAAGCTGTTTAAGGGGTGGTTAATATTTGTTCCACCCATGGAGCCGACCAGAACAATTTGCTTCACTCCAGCAGCTTTAGCTGTAAGCAGTTGCGCCGAAATTAAATAAATTACGAAGCATAATATAATGTGGGGAACTAATATAAGTGGAATAAACCTTACCAGCATCTATTTGACTTTTCTGGCCTTCCCAGTCAACCTAAAACGTGTGTTCAAGTATCAAAATCAAGCAACCAGAAACAAAGTTCAAAAACCTTTTCGACTAAAAGGCAGTTTACCAACACAAACTGGTAAACGCTTATCGGGTAAGAGTCACCACCCTCACTTAGAGGCACTTTACCAAACACTTGCTGAGTATGCCCGTAAGTGCTTACCGGGTGTCACCTATCTTACCCGTAGGTGAAGGAGAAGACTATTAAGGGCTGTTTACCAAATACTTAACTGGTAAGCACTTACCTGCAAGAGGCATCACCCAAACTTACCTTTTCAGTTAACTTTCTCGGCCATCAAAATAGATTGTAAGCGTCTCTTACCTGGTAAGCGCTAACCAGGTAATAGTCTTCTCCCTCACTTACCGGGAAAGAACTACGGTTGTTGCCATGCCTCTTAACGGGAATGATTCTTGGTCTTTGCCATCCTCACCTGGTAAGGTCCCTTACATTGCTGGTAAAGATTCTCGGTAAAGTATGGTAATCGGCCCCTTACATTGCTGGATAAGATTCTCGGTCATCAAAAATAGCATGGTATAAGCGTCTCTTACCAACCACGTAAGAGTCACCACCCTCACTTACCAGGTAAGATTCCCGGTGAGCAAAATGGAAAAATAAGAATTGTTGGTAAAGACCATCATCTCTGACCGGGTATGCATCTCTTACCCAGTACGAGGCAATTGGTGTTTTGTTAGCCAGTAAGAGGCGGCAAGTGTTTAGTAACCACCCCTAAGAAACCACAATTTGAATGTAGAGAGTAAAAATATAATACTTGTTCAGGATATGATCCGTCTTCGAAATAGAATTCTGGCCTTCCACCTTTACTTGGATCAAAACCAGGTTTCATTTTAGGGACTGCACTTGTGAGAATTACAAGAGCATCTATGCCCTGAATAGCAGGAATAACACTTTCGACATTCGTTATATCGCCAATGAAAACGTCATCTGCTCCACCAATTTTCTCCTTACTCTCCTCAGTTCTAACCAAGCCTCTTGCAATATACTCTCCTGACCGCTCCTTCAGCTTCTTATAAACTATTTGACCTACCAAACAAAAGAACGATAAAATATACACAGCATCAAATAAGCAATCACTTCATTTTCAAGGAAACAAAGAGCAACACAGTAAGTTTGTTGTCTGCTTGTTTGTTTGTTTGCTGTTGCTTACTCCTAACACGTTTTCATATCTTAGCGTGGCCTCTTTTTTTTCAAGTTCTTATTTTCTTTCAATATAAAATTGAGCATTTTGTTTTTGCACACTTTGCACAAGTTAGATGGCTTCAGGGAAACAGTCGCTATCCTCCTCAAGTACATCCCATCCTCCCGAGACCCCACCTCCGGCTAGGATATATTGGGCTTGTTTGGTTTGGTTCGGTTTATAAGGACAATGACGTGCCCAATCTCTGTTTCTCCCATGGAGATTTATTTTATTGAAATCAGTTGGAGGAGAAAATATTGTTCACGATGGTTTCATTAAGGCAATTTTGAATTTGATACAACAAATCAACCAGATTTATAAGTGATCACATAGATTTATCTCATAAACATACACCAACACAAAAAGTGAGACAGCTTACCATGTAATCATCTAAAACAAAAACTATTAGCTTATTGTACCATTTTAGCATGATGTCGTGGTTCAACAGTTATAACCAATACTTTCTTCTTGAAAAGAGACACTTTTATGAGGTACGTACATCAACCACATGGTTCAGATTTATGGTTCACGATGAAATGCATGCGTAGGTCGATGTCGATCAACAATAAGATTGTACTATAGAGTCATTGGCCTAGCATAGAGACAGCCTTCCAGAATGTCGAGGGTTCAGAACTCGCCGAAGGTGAGGAGTGTGCGTTAGTATTTGCATATATAAATATGATATACTTCAAAAAGAGAATAAGATCGTCCATTTTTGACTTGTGTATACTCTTTTATCTTGAGAACTAAAAACACACTTGTGACAGAAAATGAGTAGGAAGTTAATCTAATCTTCTGGAAATAAATTAATCAACTGCATTAAGGCCTTGTTTGGTAACCATAAGCTAGTTCATCTTTAAGCTTATTGAAAAAACCCCGTTTGGTAAGCCATAAACTAGCTTATTGGCCGACAGTTGGGGCCTCTTCGTTAACAGCTTAACGAGCTTAATGAGAGACACAACTTATTTGGTCAGCTATTCATGATCATTTGGTACTCAAATTGGTAGTGGCTTAATGATATAGAAAGTGGCTTATTCGGTAACCTCCTAGGGGGAGCTTAATGCAGAAAGCCACGTTTTTTCCAAAACTATCCATCCTAATTAAAGAATACACACGCTCTTTCTATCTATGAAAAAACCCACCCAATCTATACGGACAGATTAATCCAAAAAGTAAATATAGAAATAGAATGTAAAGAAGCTTTATACCAATTTAAAATCTGAAAATACACGTTTGGATTTTAAACTCAAATGCAGATTTCTTCGCCTTTTTACTGTTGCTTTATTCCCCTGAGCCAAAAACCACACTAGAAAATTCCAAATAACTTCAGAAAGAACAGAATGACTACAATAACTTAAGTGAGAAAGCAACGCTTTGTTCCTGTGTGATTTACGTTACTCAAGATCTACACTGTCATACCTTCACCAGACATTTTCTATTAAAAAGGTTTTGATACCACAAGGGAGGGGCAAACTATCGCCACGACTAGAAGCAAGTGGATTCAAACTCAAAGGACCTGTTTACCAAAAGCTAACCAACCAAGTAAGCTCTTGCATGGTAGAGTGACCACCCTGACTTACCTTACAGCTAACAACATTTTCAACAGACTCTATAATTCCTCTAAAATGGAGAACTAAAAGTCAAAATCTCTAAAAGGACTTACATTTAACTCCAACTGGTTCTCTATTTTAGAGATTTTTTAACTTTCATCATATTGTTAAAATTTTCTACAAATTTATGATCTCAATACACTTTCCAGAAAGAATTTATATAAAATAATAATAATTTAAACTTATTGGTGGGAATGAATAAATAATTTAATTTATCTCTCTCCACATCAAGTTTTAAAGAATTCTCTAAAGCTAGAATATAGAACAATATAAAGAATTGGTTGGAGCAAAATAGAGAACAAAAGCCCAATTTTCTCTAATTTAGAGAATTTGTTGGAGATGTTCGAAGATTTTTGACCTAACATGGTAAATGCTAACCGGGTAAGAGTCACAGTCTCGGTCATTACATGCTTTTACCGGATAAGATCCTTTGCTCATCCAATATAGGAAGATAAGTGACCCTGGGTCGCCACTGGTCATGACATCCAAAAGGAAGTCCCACGGCTTTAAACCCTAAATACCTATTAAACTCAAACCCATAGCAAAGTTTCTCAATTCCATAGAGTGATAACAGGAAATCAGACATTTTCATCAAAATTTAGTCAATTTCCATAAGCTCGTGAGCTCAGAATATAAAAATTAACACTTTCTAAAACTTCTGATCTTAGACAAGATTAGAGAAGCAAAGATTTAAGCACATAATTGAAGTTAAAATAAGGAGGATAAGTAATAAAAAAAAAGTAATACCGGTTCTACCACCGGCTCCGGTAACGAGGACGGTGCTGCGGTTGGATTCCGCCATCGCAAAAACTGAGAATCTTCTCCTTGTGGTAGGTGGTTGAGGGTTTAATTTGAAAGAGATGGTCAATTGATGAGGGCATTGTGAAGAGGAGGTAGATGAGATTGGTAGAAGGACACGTGTCAGAGAAGCCATCAAGGAGTCGTTTCCAGAAGAATCCGCGAACCGAGCGTTTCTAGCAATTCAATCCCCGTTTTGAAGAGCAGTTGGATTTCGTTATCCACTACATTGATTGCATGCATCATATCTTGTAAAATTTATTAAAATGTAAATAAAAGAAAATTAAAATTCAGATATTATTCCAAATGAAGAATTATAAGATCAATTTAGGCAGGTTTGAGATTGATTATAAAAATAACTTATTAATTTATTCTGGTATATGATATCGGTAATAAGCACTTTTGAGTGATTGGATAAACAATTTATATTGGTGTCAAACCGGTAATAAAAAGTTTTTGAAAAAGTTAAACCCTTCTGACTTATAATAAGTTGATAAGTGCTTTTATAGAAAAAACATAAGTTGTTTCAGAAAAGCAATCCCAAACACCCCCTAAGAACTTTCACAACACGGTTTGCATTTCTTTTTCTTTTTGATTAACCTAGATATCCAACCTGCTATGCGAGCCGACTAATCCCAGGACGACCACGTGCTTTGCAGATAGCCCGGAGTCACTGCATTTGAACCTCCGTGGCCCAAAGAGATTTTTATTCCTCCTTGGATTTGAGCCTGAGACCTCCTGATACTTTTGACCTTTAGGGGTTGTTTGGATCATGGGAATTGAAAGGAATTGAAATGTCTAATCCTTTGACCAAATTCCAAATAGATTGTTTGGTTCATAGAATAAGACTATAGAATTCTTTTAATTCCAGTCAATTCTTTCATGCACAGATTTTACAATTTCATGGCAATATGCTAGGATTTCAATTCCTTTCCTAATCCAATTCCATGCAACCAAAAGCAATCACAAGGCATCGTCAAATTCCATCAGATTCCATTCCTTCAAAAGTCAAATTCATTTGATGAATTCCAATTCCATCGAATTTCATTTTACGAACCAAACGCCTCCTTATAGTCAAGCTTAAACCAATCAGACACCACCTGTACGATTAATTTGCATTTTTATTAAAGCCACACTTTGAAGCATGGTTTGTATTTTTAAAATATTATTAAACCACAGTTCAAACCACATCGCATCTTACATTTTTATATATTTTTTAAAAATATTATTATATGTACATTGTCATGGATCAATTGAAAATAACTAATATTATTATATTTAAAATATTAATTTTTGATGTCAAATAACGTAGTCTGAAGCTTCATAATTAACAAACACAAACTAGATATAGAAATCCTAAGACAACTTATTCAATTCTAATCCACGGCGCATGAAAGCCGAGAACTTATGCTATGTTTCTTCTTCTTCTTGCTCGGCTTCGCCACTAGGAACGATATCCGACCAAACCCGAACTTCTTTCTCTTTCCCGACCGACGTTTCCCACCATCATCATCACCGCTGCCACCATCACCACCACCACCACCACCACCGTTGGTAGGCTTGCTCAGCATTTGTGCCAACGAAACCTTCCTTTTCCCCGAGCTTTTTTCTGAATTCTCTTCAGTCAACAGCAACTTCCGGCTCAAAATCTGCCCGATCGACATTGTCGGCCTCAAAACCGGACCGGATATGTTACTTGCCAAATGGGATCCGATCCGATTTGAAGAATTTTTGAATTTGGTCGAGTTTTGGACTGTTGACTTTCTCCTTTGACCGTGTTCCGATCGCCATTTGCGAAGAGCTTCTTCGGCTTTTAACTTGTCGTTATTCGCAGCATCGACTTTCCTCAAGGCTTCTTCGAGAACCCTCTTACTGTTCTTCACTTCATCGGTTGCTTCCTCGACCCTGTTCAAGATCTCGGTTTTTGATATCTCGGCTTCTTCGACTCGAGCCATGGCTTCGGTTTCTTGGTTATTTGAAGCTTCATCGGCCTCTCGAGCTTTCATTTTTAGATAAAAGTATTCCTCGAAAGAAAGAGTCACACCTTCGCCTTCAGATAAAGTTTGACTTTTCGATATTGACTTTATCTCGGATCGTGCAAGAGCTTCACACGCTTTCGCGGCTTCTGTAAGTTTTCGAGCTCCCATTAGACGAATGTTGGCTGTTTTTAGTCTCATTTTAGTCTGTTTGATCTGATTCATTGCTCGTAAAACTTCTGATTTCGCTACCTCTCCGACCTTCTTGAACTGCTCAGTCTCGGAAGTCAACCGGTGGAGCTCCCGTGGTAAGTCAACGTCTTCTTCAAGAGATGGCATTTTCGTAGAATTCAGAGATAATCTCTGACGGGTTTTCTCAAGTGCGAATCTTTCTTTATCGATCTTCTTGTTGTACGATTCCACAGTCGCTCTGATATCAGCAAGATCGTTTGTGGTTCTTGTTAAGTTCAGTTTGGCTTGCTTCAATTCCATCAAGATGAAACCTGGAGCCGAAGAAGGACACATCAAGTTATCACCACCAGACTGTGGCTCAAGTGCGTCTTCGTCATTTCCCTCTCCCGGTTCTTCAGATTGATTACGAGCACCCGATTGTGGCTCATGTGTGTTTTGGTCATTTCCCCCTCTCAGTTCATCAGATTGATTATGAACAACCGATTGCAGCTCAAGGGTGTTTCGGTCATTTCCCACTCTCTGTCCTTCAAATTGATTACAAACCACTAGTTCAACTGCAGCTGATTCTTTCTGAAGTTTGACTTTCAAATCTTCGAGAGCAGTTTTTGTTGCTTCGAGTTCTTTCAAGACTTCGAGCGTTTCCCTTTCTTTCACTATGAGATCATTCGCTAACTGCACGGCCTGCTCTTCTGCTTTTGCTGCATCAAATACTTCTTCAATGTAATCCTGCAATCACATGAACAAAATGGTATACTCAGAAGTCAATTAGTTATCCAACAGTTTGACTTCTAGAGTCAACGCAGTTGGGTTTCAATATTAAAAATATAAAGAAGTTATAGCTTTTAAGTAAATACGAAAGTTTTTTAAAGCTAAACAATAAGCCTATATCAACCAACAAGAAATTAGTAATTTGAAAAATAGAATTTATATCAAATCAATTAAGTATGAAAAGTGCCTTTGGCGTGTAGCTAAGTTGACAAAGGGGAGGGTGACTTTGCTCAAATACAAGACAGATCCCGGGTTCGATCCCCCCTCCCCTAGCCTCAGCCGTTGAGTGAACCAAAAAATGTCACCTCACATTGGTGTCCTTGGAGGGGGTTTCGTGTGGGCCGGTTAGGATTGCCGCTAATCAACCTTTTGCCCAAATTAAGTATGAAAAGTGACTAATTTGACTGAGAAAAAGTGGAAGCTTTTATAAGAAAATAACAATAGTTCCTATTATTTGGATTCTCCTCTAGAGACGATGTGTCTAGCCGATGTGGGACTCCAAGGCACCCCTTGTGCGGAGGGTCGATTGAGAATGTTGGGCCGTGGAGATGGTAAATGACAATCTTGATATCATGTTAGGATATGCAAGACTCTCTGGCTCTCTTTCTAAAAGAGCCTTTGTAGAGAGGAGATATGTTCCAATATATGTAGAAGAAAAGTCTACACAAGTAATCGCTTTAAGCACCAAATAGCTCATGTCTGATCCATCCGGGATTAAACCATTATGCAGAACTCGATCCATGTTTAATTTTGGTAGAAATCAAACACTCATGCCGACTTGAAATAAACCAAGTTCTTAATCAATGATAAATGAACCATACATGAATGTTAAGAAGCAATTAGCATTTGTAATCAACCAATGTACATGTGAACTACAAATACAACACTCATTGTGTCAATCAAACTGCTTTTTTTAAAACTATTTCATTGATCAATTGCAATGTTCCTTTGGGTGTCTATCAGACTATCACTACTTGTTGGCTTTCCGTCATTTCTTTTGCTGTTGCTAACACTTGCATTTTTTTGATCCACATATATGTTGACCGTTTACAAGCCAACAGATTATGAGCAACGGAGTTCACCAACCTAGGCCATGGCCCATGGTCCTTCTTTAGCACCTATAAGAGATCCACCGTACGCCCTAAGCTAAACCGTCCATGTACCATTTCTTACCTAAACCGGTAGGCACCCAAGCTTCATCCTGGTCATGGATAGATCACCATGAACGGGTGAATGTTGTTTAGCTAGATCGCACAAACTTCAAATGTTGCTTCTGTGAGAATATGTTTATCCTCCAAAAGAGCCTATTAAGGAGAAATGGCTCATGTCTAACGGACGTGGGACTCTTGACAGTTTCCACAAAAAAAATTGAGAGATTAACTTCACTTAACCATGGTATTTTGGTTATATTTATAAACAACATTGGTTTTGCAGAAACATAAAAATATGATTACACTTTACAGAAAGACTTGCATAATTTATTCAGAATCCTTCCTACTTTTACAGAGTATATCATTGTTTTATCAAAAAAAAATTGCAAAAGCCATTTTTTGTTTCACATAGAAGACCAATTACGATTCTACTTATCCATGTTCTATTTTGCGATTTTGTTGATTCTAAACCCTTTAATTGTTTAAAAACGAACAGATTCACTAATGAACAAAAACTTAAACAAACCAGCAGATACGAAACGAAATGACGGAAAGTGAAGATACAGAGAGAAGGATGAACCTCAGAAGCATGAGGATGAGGCTGCTTATGATGGGGTTTCCAGAACCCGACTCCACCGAATCGGTTCACGGCCTCCTTCACCGACTCAAATGGCGCCGATGTGTCGATTTCCCCCCTCACGCCACCGCCATTGTTGTGTTGCTGTTCCGAAGCCGTTTGTCGAAATCCAGGGCTGACATTTTGACCTGAATCAAATGCTTCCACTCTAGTGTAATTAGATTCATCCATGAGAGGAATGAAACAAAGAAGTTATGGATTTCAATGGGGAATTTGGGGTTTCTATTGTTTGGATCTGGAAACAAAACCCTAAATAAAGATCAGAGAGTGAAAGAAGAAGAGACAAAAAAAGAGTAACGTTATGCGTTTTTATCTTGGCAAAAGTGCAAGTAACGGCTCCATTTCCCCCAAAAACAGCTTTACCTTTCCAATCAAACTATATTAAAAAATAAATTCAATTTTTTATTTATACGTTTCCTGTTTTCATATATTTTTGTACACGCATGTGTATATACAAAGAGAGGACATTTGATTTAACGAATTAGTCAAATTGTGATAACTTTGAAAATTTATGCATTATTTGTTATTTTATATGATATTTTTTATCTAATACTCGAATATAAAATATTGATTAACATATATTTGTTTTACAATGTGTTTATTTTTGCATGTATTCAGTTCACGATGTGAACACTTTTGACGTGTTTGTAACAAAAAATTCGCATAAAAAAGTTTCATATCGTGAACTGAATAAATATGAAACAAATATATCTTAATCAATACGTTAAATACTATAATTAGAAGAAAAAAAATCATGTGAAACAAGGCACTAAGGTAGAAGTTCTTATGGATCTCCCAAATTTTGGAGTTTTCAAATAAGTAAGCCTATAGATATAGGTAGAAGTTCAAACGAGAAACCCTATGATTTACGAGAATGCAAGAACAGTTGTGCGTCTCTAACCTCTTTTTAACAATAATTTAAGCTATAATAAATAAAAATAAATCAATAAAGGTAGTAACGTAATTAGGTATTTTATAATTTTTATAGTATTGTAATTATCCCAAGATTCTAGATTGGAATCTGATCGAGTAAATTCTCGTGTCTCCATCATTTTTCTCCCCATTGTTTTCTATATCCAAAGATTCGATCTTTGTGATCACATATTAGAGAATGTTTTTGAGAGTCGGACCAGAAAATGTTAATTCAACGAAAATCGTACATAGAAGGCAAAGTGATAACAACGTGATACATCACAATCGATTATATGGGATTATGAAATCAACACAATGACGTGATGTTGCTGTGATACATTACATTTTAAAGGTATGGTTTCAAAAAAAAAAAACAGTGATAACTAACACAAATTTGAATGATCACCACTTATTTGGTTCACCCTCCAATAAAAAATCAAAATCATAAGTTTTGTGATTTCAAATCAATATTAATTTACTCGTATTGATGATAATATCAAATAGGTAACTTTAACTGGTCCGATTATGATCAATATCTTATGCTGATCAGTATCACATAGTTAGCACATGTAAGATTTGTCACATTTTTCACAAATAATTATGTGATATCATATTGCGTAATCAGATGTGATGTTGCCGTCAATTGTAATACTCGTGTGAAATCGACAATTATGTGATAAAGGTGTGAAATCGACAATCGTGTAATCGAGTGTCGCACCTGTTCGATTACACTGATTCATTGTGGAACGTGCTATGATAAATATGTGATATAGCCCAAACCGGTGACGTACAATAATCCAACCCTAATTGATAATCATGTGTTAATTCATGATACAACCCTAATTAGATAAAAACAGGTGGGTTATCATCAACTTATATTGTGAATATGGTTTAACTAGACTGTGATAATCATGTGATAAACAAGCAATGTGACAATTATATACATTTTCTATTACTCGATTTTGCCCTTTTACTGTTGATAATTGAATAAACTGTGATAATCGGTCAAACGGTATTAATCTAACTCAGCTGAAACTTGTTACTTCCTTAGATCCTTGCTTTCAGTTTACCTAATAGGCCTACCATCACTGTGATGTTGTGATAACCACGTCAGTGATGATGATTATCACTCCCCACATGATCATAATAATCATCATCGTGTTTTTTGAGTTTTAATATACCAATTTTACCCTCCCATGCTTTTAGTATTTTTGAACCTTTTTTAATATTTATTTAATTTTGAGAAATCCTTTAACTTATCTTAAAATTTGATTTATAACATAATGTTTGGCTTAAAGACTGTTATTGCATTCTCGTAAATCACAGAGATTCTCGTTTGAACTCTTCCCTATATATATATATATATATATATATATAATGGCTTAATCGTTTAAGAACTTCATATATTGTGATAACCGTGAGAATTTTTATCTTAATATATTATTGTGATTCTAAATAACTCGTTATGGCGTCAAAGCTTGGGTTCGCCACCATGTTAACCCCTGTGGCTACACTCTAAGGCTTGCCTTCCATTATGGCACGTTACGACGTGTGATGCGCGTTACAACGTGTTATTTTGTAAGGTGGATTTTTTTAATATATAATTTGAGGGATAAATGATAATTATGTATGTGACCTAAAACTTAAATAAACATAAAAAATGAAATTTAATAACTAAAAGTCTAAACAGGTAAATATTTGCTCTCATTCTCATACACAAATTGTTTGAAAAACTACATAAAGTAGTGAGTTGAGATTCAAGAGATTTAATCTCAATTTTGCACACTCGATATCATTTTTTATCAGCTCTATATATTTCGTATCAATGATTTTTTTTTGGTCTATTATTTACATTAATTTAATTTATTATTCAAAACACTAACACATACAAATATGTGTATTGTCTCCTTAGGGCACGCCTTAAAAAACACCATGACCTCGCTGTAACTCGTAAGTATTGAGACTTTACCTCATCGTCACGCCATGCCTCACGTCATTTGAAATCTTGATTGTTTTATATAATTTTTTCTCATGTAATACTAGCATTTAATGTATTGATAAACATATATTTGTTTCACAATGTTTTTGCTTCATGTGTATGCGGTTCACAATGTGAAACTTTTTTTGCATGTAACTTTTGTTTTAGAAATAGACAAAAAATGTTCACATTGTGAAACAAGTACATGTGAAGACAACACATTGTGAAACACATACATGCTAATGGATATTCTAAATCCCAGTTTTCCATGAAAAAAAAACTATATGAAATAGTACATGATATTAGTTCCCAATGTTATCGTAATTTCATAGGTTCTCAAAAGATAACCCCCCTATATATATAAGTTTTTTTTACGAACTGTCTAAATAGTATAAACTGTCTAAACCAAATTATTTTCAATATCTTTACCTAGTGATATATCTCATTCCTTAATTATCTAATTCACTCGACATCTTAAAACGGATTACCAAACAAATTGTAATCAAACTCACATAACCATACAAAAAATTATAACTTTTTTACTGTGTTTCATATAAGAAAATATTTACTAAAATTTGACATATGAAACATCTCCGAATTCAATTTCTGATTTCTTATTATGTTTCATCTACAAAACATTACTCAATTTGTAACATCCCATTTTTAATACAACCTGATTAAAAGACTCGGATTAGTTTGTAAAATTCATACTACTTAGGTTGTCTGCAAAAGAGAAAATTGTATCAAAATAGAATCAACTCTGTCATGATTCCTATTTTAAGGATCAGACTTTAGAATTTATCATTTTAAGATCTGAAAACAAACTTTCATATATTTCAAGACCTCGTCTATCAGTTGAGCAGGCAACCAATCGCTCAAAATCTGTTTTTATCAATTTTTTAACCTTTAACGACTACTTATATTGGGAAAAATACAGTGTTTCAATCGTTGACACATTCTTTTTTATGTTTCCATCAATGGTCCATGAAGCTTCATGAGAAAATTGAACTTTTACACAAGAAATTCATCAAAGGTTTATAATGAAAAATGAAAACACATACGAAAATCAATAAAAGATGATGAAATGAGTGATAAATTTATAGACAACCTCTTTGTTATCAAGACTCGTCGGAGCTATTAAACCGTTTGTTAACTACACTTGTCGAAAAATGAAGCTTCTTTCAGTAGAGCTCTTGCTTGAGGAGAAAAAGAACTACGTGGTTGTTTACCATACACTTATCTGGGTAGGTGTTTATCGACAAAATTCAACACTAACACTTTCATATAGAGTAATATTGTAGTCCACCAAAATGGTATCATATGCAAAAATTTACCCAGTAAACGACGATAACCGTGATAAGAGTCGTCTCATTTACCAGGTAAGAACTCAGTCCTGGCCATATGCATTCAGTAAGATAATATGACTCGATAAACAATTATCTAGATAAACAAAAACAATCATTTTGATCACATGGTTTCACTCTTAGTCATTCTCTTCCAAAATTACGAAAATAGCCATTAGTCTGTAATTTGCGAAGGGGTCAAAGTGTAAGAAGAAAAAACAAAGTTTCTGAATCAGATCTGTAATTGTAGGGACCAAATATGTAAATTTGGAAAAACACATTGCGGACATATTTTGGCAGACCTATTAACTAATTTACATATTTGATCCCTGTAATTACAGACCTAGTTCAAATCTTATTTTTTTTAAACTTTAACATTTTCACAAATTAAAGACTTGCTAAAAGATGACAATATTTTTATTAAATATTTTCATAATATTCACTGATTTCATCAAGTGGTTGTGTTAGCTAATTATTGATTTTTGTCTAATGAATCAAAATAGAAGTTCATATATTTTCATGATATATACATTTGTTGATATCAGGATGCTAAAGGGAGCAAGATTTGCACAAATAATCTTTTCATTATCAATCTATGGTGGGTTTATCAAAAGGTATGATATTTAGTGTTTAATACAGATCTTAATTTATGTCTGTATTATGATGTCTGTCTTTAGTATTGATCGACCATCTAATGAACTCATTGTTTTAGCAGCTCACTTGAAATTATTGCAATATGGCTAATGTCTCTACAAACACCTTGCAACTACATACTCTTTATTACATAGATGGTTTTTTAGTTTATCCCTTTGAGAATATGCCTTGGATGCATTGTTTACTAGTGTTTGTGACTGACCCCTGTTTTGACTCTGACTATTTTATGATATTCTATTATATTGATGTCATGTATTGTGTCATATTTAGATCCCATTTAATAAATATGAATATATGTTTGTGTAGGCTATGTCAAGACAATTTTTTGAGAATAGATGGGGGCGAAAGTATGCTTAAATAGTACAATGAGCACTTTGAATTACCATT